CCCCCCCCCCCCCCCCCCCCCCCCGCGTTGTTTGTGGAATGGGATCGGCCTGCGGCCGATAGGTTGTGCGGCGACCTCGGTCTGGATCCCCGGGAGTTCATTCTCAATTTCGTGTTGCCGTCCGTATCCCCCGGACATGTTCATGTACTTCACTTCACATGTGTTTTGACTTGGGATATCGATTTGCTGTGGGGTGACTTCTGTGCGGAAAACTGTGTGATTCCTGCCCCCTCTATTCTATGTATCGCCTTTTTCTTGACAGCTTTCATATATCCTCAATCCTTGACGGGTTTCTATGCAGATTTCCACCATTCGAACGCCTGGCGTCGACCTTGGTCTGGAACGTAAGATCCTCCGTACATCACACTGCTGTACCGTCTACTAGGGTTAGGTTCATACTTCGTATATAGTTTTCCCACGCCGCCACTTCTCGAACAGCGTATCGGTTATGGGGCCATCGGTAATGTCAATTTTTCGTTTGAGAACTTTTGCGGATTGAAAACATGCGAAGTTGTGCCCGAGAGAATGTCTGCATGGACGCAGAACCTCATTGAGGTCCAGGCCGTGATATCCGCACAATCCATAGACCGACATCTAATACCATAGAGACATGAAAGGGAAAAATACATTTGAAAAATTTCCAACATGGACGGTTTTATCAACCGGACGATAACAACCTGGGGGCCCACGTGGAGGCCGCCGCACAACCCACACGCGCGAACGCCTCATTCGAACAATGGTGTGAATATTTGTGACAAGGTCTGGAACTCCGGGCGATTCTCCTTGGTGCTGCTTACCACCTCACAATTTTTGCGTTTTTACTTCGCCTCGGGAATAGAATGGGGCATTCGCTGGCGGCTAAATAGGTGGGTGACCTTGGTCTGGACCCGTTTGATTTCGGTGTGGGCCCCAGGTGCTTCTCTTTCGTTTCATTCTACCGCTACGTAGATTCTTTCACCTCCAACAGTCGGCTGTGGAATGGAATATCGGCTCGAGGCTTGTGCAGTGACCTCTCTGGACCCCCAGGTCGCCTGCATGGGCCGTCTATACCCCGGACACGTTTCATACTGTATTCACATCGCGACGGATCTTCAATGAGATTTAGACTATTTTTGAAGGAGACGTCGGCAAGTCGATAAATCAGTGAAGTATCGCGGTAGGTTGAAAACATGCTACCAACTGTCCGGTTTGGGTGGTACATGCTACACCGAGGAGAACGCGGGTGTCCAAACTGACGTCACCCCACAACCCTCGAGCGAGTATCTCATGCGGAAACCGAATGGAGGTTATTGCTGGTGACTTGTAAACGGCATTTGAAAATTGTGGAGGACGCAAACTTTGCATCTTTTAACTTTGCATCTTTTTGACTTCGTCTAGTGTCGCCGCAACCGCGGTGGCTGTCGCACAACGGGAGCGTCCACCCCTGTGTTTGCTTGCAATTGTGGGCAGTGCTCGGGACGGATCGGGTACATACTTGATTCTCGATTGAATGACATTGTTCTGCAATTTGCAAGTGTGGTTCACGAGTGTGTGACTGACACTTTTCTCGAATTCGTCAGGAAGATGCGGTGTACTTTCATAGAGCGATGGCTCTCAAGCTGTTTGTCCACCCCCACAAAGTCGACAATGTCGCATTTGCAGAGGGGGGCGGACGGCGTGTTCTTGCTGTACGCGACACCCCAAATATTTGGTCTAGCACCCTGTAACTGGCGTTACTTGCGTGGGTTGCTTGGTGAAGCTGAGGTGGGGGCTGTCTCGAAGAGTGCTGCTGACCCCACGTCGTTTTGGCCACCTGGTGTTCCCGGGGCGGTGGTCACGCTGCTCGTGCAGTAACTCTGTCGACGAGGGTAAGAATCCGTGCGATAGGCGGGGCGTGCGCAGTGATGTAATAGGTGGCTTTAACTGGCGGTTATTCTTCCTGGTTGGACTGCAAAATAACATGCAGCACTCCATTCCTCGTGGTATGGAAATTGGGCATAACAGGCACTCGCATGCACAGTCCAGTACATCCATCAAGTGCAGACATCCTCTTGCTCCACACGCTCTCCTCTCGCTGCATCTCTCTCTCTTCCTCTGTGTGTCACGACATTTGTGACACTGACGATATTAACAACGTCGCCGACGGTTCAAGTTGGTTGACTCGTGCCAACCTCGTGTCTCCTTTTTTTTTTTCGATCGTTTCATCGACATCCACCACGGGATCTCGGGAACAAAATTAAACTCTTGGCTGCAGGTTAAATGTTGCACGGACAGTGTAAAGCCCTAGGGGAAGCAGTTGTAGGGCCTTTTCAACGTGGCGAAAGATGCGTTCACGCCCCCTTGGCACCATCCGTACCGACAACCCATTTTCGTCACAACTGGCTGTTGCGAATTTTGGGGTCTTCTTTTGTTCGCAGATGCGGGGCTGCTGGGAGCAGCGTTGGTGTACGTGCTTCAGCTGGGCGGGCTTTTCCAGTGGTCCGTCAGGCAATCGGCGGAGGTGAGATTGTCGGTTGTTTTGTCGTGTAATTACGAAGCGAGGAAAAATTCGTATGCATGCGTATCTCGCACCTCTTTCCCCCCTCGTTCGGGATATGGGTTGGCGCTATGAAGTTAGACGGCCAGCGGCCAGCGTACCCTTTGCGCGACCGACGACTAGCTCACCTCCTGACGGCGAAACGTGCTTGGCGAAGGCCTATTCACATCATAGGCCGAAAATTAAAGGGCGTGCTCTATCCGGGTTTTAGTCGAGGGTGCGAGGGCCAACGGGTCAAACAGACCTACGGTCCAAGTTTATTTATACTTTTTGGGGAGACGCTGGGAGTGAAAGCGGCACCTCCGCATGCTACATGGACGCACCATGAACGGCGGCGTGTAACGCAAGTGGCCACACGATGTGGCAAGACCAATAGACTCCCACGTCGTTGCCTTGTACATAGTATGCACGGGCCGTGAAAGTGGAGGGCGCAACGCAAGTAGCAAGGCGGTTGGCAAGACCAGAAGCATCCACTGTCATCGCCTTGTTTCCCCCACCGTGTACTGCGTATTTGTCTCTCCTCGTTGTAGCCTATCTCTGTGCGTTACAGCCTTGATCCTAACGCGAGTCGAACTCGTTGTTTCGCGTCGGTATGGACAGGTGGAGAACCAAATGGTGTCGGCAGAGCGCGTGCTGGGGTACTGCAGAGTGCCGCAGGAGGCTAGTTTGGAGTCGGAGCCGGGGTGCAAACCGGCGGATGGGTGGCCGGCCAAGGGCGATATCGAGGTGGGCCATCCAAGCGTGTTTGACCAAGCGTGTTTGAACTGCTTCGCAAATCGATCTTGCCCTTCCTGTTCGTTGTCGACTCTCTGATAATTGGAGTACTCTTCAGATTTTGCCCGTCTGTCTTTTTTCTCCTCCTCGGCATGCTCTCCTGCTCTTAGACACGCCTCAGTGTGCGGAGGATCCGAACCATAATTTTTTTTTTAACCCGCCCCCCCCGGTGTTTGCCATCGGGGTTGGGTTTTCGTCGCTTGGCAACGACGTTGTAAAACAAGCCATTTCACTTCGTGAGCTCGGCAGCCAGGTTAGCGTTTTTTTTTGCCTCTGTTTTTTTTTTGGCGGTATTAATGATGTTGGTCGACTGGATCATGTTGTGCGGGGTGGAGAACCCTCACTCCGCGCAAGGGGCATGATCGCACCACGTTGTGTTAAAATAATCGAGCACCCTCGTGGCAGTTACACCGTGCTTACAACTGTCTCTGGAAGTCAAAGCACCAGATAATATATGATGTCATTCGCAGCTGTCATCCGTACGCAAGCAAGTAAGCATAAGATGCCGAAAACCCTTAGCAGGATGCAGCGCACCCTTCATGCGACTCGCCGAATATCTCACGGCGCTTCGCGCTTGGTGATGTGAGAGCCTGGTCCGGTGAGAACCCGGCGTGCTCCGTCCCGGCTTTGTAGGGATGCGAGGTCAATGATCTAACGACTACGGCATGCACGACTATGAGTATGAGTACACCTGACCTTCCTGAAAATCTTGCAGGTATCGAAACCTGGGCTAGATATTGAATGAAAACTTGCCTGATTTCCAACACAGTTGCTATTGTGGAACCTTCCACGTACTGGTCATTTGTAAGCGAAACTTAGCCTTAGCCAATCACTGCTGTGGTTCTGCGTATTTCACCGGAACCACTCCGTTTCGTTCCACCACCTCCCAGGTTCGCGACATGTCTATGCGATACCGTGAGGACCTTCCCCCGGTGCTGAAGGGGCTGACCTTGTCCATCAAGGGAGGGTCGAGGGTAGGAGTCGTCGGCAGGACGGGCGCGGGCAAGTCGAGCCTCATCGCTGCACTTTTCAGGCTCGTGGAATACGACAGGGACAGGTGCGTCTGTTTCTTTTCCGTTTCGCCTGCTGTCTGGGCACGGTCCCTGCTACGTACGAGAGGACGAGCACAGTTGGCACTTGTATTTTGATCGCGCTTGGAAGCCTGTGGCTGATGTCTTCTTCACATCTTGTTCTTACTCCACGGACGGCTTTCGGCAGAGGAAGTATTGAGATTGATGGCGTGGACATCTCCAAGGTGGGCCTGCACGACCTGAGGCCCAGGATGTCGGTGGTGCCCCAGACGCCGTTTCTATTTTCCGGCTCGATGCGGCTAAACCTCGACCCCTTCGCAAAGTGAGTTTGTCGAAACATTGCCAATCTGTCTCTGTAACTCATTTCGTTTCCTTCCTCTTTTTCGCGGTAGCTCCTCCAGCGCCTTTCTCGCTTAACCGAATATCGTCTTTTGCGTTTTTCACGGTTGTGGCCTCCCGGTGTTTTGTTTGATCTTTCTCACAGTTGGTGATGAATGGGGCAAGGCGGCCCAACAAACCGAGACGTGCCCTGTTTTTGTTTTACCATTTGTGCATGCAAATCTCTGTCGTGTGGGCTTTCAGACAGTCAGACGCACACATGTGGGCCTCGCTGGAAGCAGTGCAGATGAAGACCTACGTGCAATCGCTGGCGGGCGGGCTAGATGCTCCCGTTGCGGAGGGCGGCGGCAATCTGTCCGTAAGTTATGTTGTGAATTAATTTGCGATATATTGATGAGCACCATTGGTTAAACAACACCGAAGTTGTTCGAGGCGTATGATTGTAGTCTAAACCAAACTCGTTCTAGGGTTTTAGTCCATTCACTCCCCATGCTTGGGATTTGGAACGCGGTTGTGGCAGCTGTCACGCCGGTTTCTGCTTGTACGCGGTGTTAAGAAAGTACCGGACAACAGGAAAGACGACGAAACCACCTCCTCTGGTCGTTGCATCTTTTTAGGTGACAACCACCTGGGAAACACCTGGGCATATTCGGTTTGAACAATGCCAGGCTCGTGCTTTACACCTCAGCACTTGAGTCATGTCGCGAATCAAGGGTGACGACAACGCCAAGTGGATGGGTCTACAATCATCCAAGCCAATGCCGTACTGATCCCTGAAAATAGGCGTGTGTTTGGCCATGTTCCCAGAGAGAGGGACTCGCGTACAAGGCCTGGGCATGCGCGCTGAAAACGTTAATTCCATCCCTCCATCGTTTTCGCTTGTTGTCGGTCCAAGCGCTAGCTCCTGTCAAATCTGTTCAGTCGTGCAGCCCCCCTCGGTGCTGTACATCATAGCAAATACGCTCCATTGTCTCAGTCTCCCTTTCTCTGCACCCTATCTTTTCCCCCACTCACGCAGAACCCGCAGAATAGTTTCTGCCTTGCGTCTAACGCAGTACGTGGCGACGTTCCTTGTCGATATATGCTCGTGTGGTCTCCGTTGTGTGTGGCGCTTTTGTTGTATCTTTTTCGGGTTTGGCAGGTAGGGCAGCGGCAACTTCTGTGCCTCGCCAGGGCGGTACTCCAGAGGTCTCAAATTCTTGTGATGGATGAGGCCACCGCTAACATCGACCAACACACCGACTCCCTCATCCAAGACGTCGTGCGGACGTCGTTCAAGGGCAAGACGGTCATCATGGTGGCTCACCGCCTCAACACCGTCATTGATTGCGATCAGGTGAACTATCTGCAGTACCTGTAATAGTAGGCTTCGACCATCGCAGGAACGTATGACACCAGTACTTGAAGTCTGACGAGACGATCGCAAGTGGGATTGCGTCTGAGATCCTCCACCCGTCCGCCCTTGGCGATACCACGTAGGTCGAAAGCGTACATCCGTTACTTCCTCCTGGATTCGAAAAATCCTGTTGTTGCTGCGCTCACCCTCGCTACAAACGATGCGCGTGAACTTGCGATAGGTCGTAGTGTTGTCGGAGGGCAGCGTCGTGGAAGCAGGGCACCCTCATGTGCTTCTCCGAGACCCCCCAGCGTCCTCTGGTACCGCTGCTGCTGCCGGTGGAACCACAGCCTCGGCTGCTGCCGATGCAACGCTGTCTTCGATGGTTGACGAGACCGGCGTTGCCAGTGCCAAGCACCTGCGGCGCTTGGCGCAGGAAGCATGGAAGGCGTCGGAAGGGAAAGAGGGTGGGGTGTAGCCATTCAACAAGAGACCTTGGTGATGACTGTCTTGCCACTTCGAGGAGTGCCAGCTGTGCCGGAATATGTTTCTGTTGAACTAGAAACGACGTGTGGGACACGTGGCGCAGGCATGCGTTGGGTTCCTGGCAACGACGTGGGAACACGTTGAAGCTTCAAAGAGACCGACTCACAACCGCCCAGCGGTGTCGACGGTGCCTCTGTGGTGCGCGTGCGCCAGTGGGTGTTCATGTGGAGCCTGTAAGAAAGTCAAAGGGGGGACGTAACAATGGAGGAGGGCCCAGATCATGGCCATTGAACTGATGCTATAAGCGTCGCTATTTGCAGGCCAATATGCGGTCATGATCCTCGACGCGACCTCCCCAGCTGCGAATCTCCTTCCTCTGTGCCAGCCCGGGAATATGTTGAACTGCTCTTGCCTTATTTATGGCTATCGGGATTGTGCAATACGTTTAGTTTTGGGGAACGCGTGTTGAGTAGATGCACCCTCCCACAGATATTCTCGATGGCCTCTCGGAGAGACATCAAACGATAACTCCACGTTCTGGCTTCAGCATCGCACTGCTTTTTTTTAGAATGAACGGTGGGTTCCGCTCGTGGACGCGAAACAACCTTCCAATCCCGGTTTGATCTGGGGCTATGCTGCGGGCCGATGGTTTTCAAATGGCCACCCCCCCCCATCCGCCTCCAACTACCTACCCCCCAACGAAGCACGAGAGCTGGCTCATCTCGAGAACGAAAATCCTCCAGTGAAATCGGAAAAGTATTTGATACACCCATGGGGACGCACACTGAGCCATGCACCGACACATTTTCTGACCGACAGAACCACCCAACCCAGCGCGACCTAGGCGTACACAACCTAGCACCTACCCCCGTCAACACCAACCTAGCACCTATGCAAACCATACCAACCTAGGTCGATCGCATATACACCAACCTAGAACTGAGCCACCCAGTGCCAACCTAGCCCAATGCCGGCATGCCAAACTAGAACTGAACCACGCAGCGCTAACTTAGCCCTAATGCAGGCACAACAACCTAGAACTGAGCCACCCGTTGTCAACCTAGCACCTATTGGGTCAGTTTGGGGTTAGGGTTAGGGTTGGCGTTAGGGATTTAGCCAGGTTCATGTAGTTGCTGCTTTGAGGGACAGAAAACTGCGCCTGCTTGCCTGTATTAGAGCGACAGGTTCAAGAAACAAGAAATCGCATAGTCTAGTCTACATGCTCGTGATGCTCGTTCCTTCAGACTAGATTCCGTTGGTAAAAATGGTGTGGGTGCATGGCATATAGTATTTGCGTCCCTGTGGGTGCATATAATTTTTCGGGTGAAATCGGCCCCTAGGTCGGGCACTACGACAGGGAAGTATACGCCGGCCCGCAGGCCGGGCGGGGTGTGTGTCTCCTTGGCTTGTGGCCACGTTATCATCTGGGCCTACAGACAGCCATGTAGCGATGTCATCCTCCGGCAGTATCGCTCCCCCCGCCCGCGCCCTGGCCTTGTCTACCAAGACCATCAGCAGCTGCAGTAATGCACTGGTTGCCCTGGAGTTGGTCAATCAAGGATCAGGAGGTCAGTTTGTTGCTTATCTCGCTCATGGGCGGCCACTCCAATCTCCCCTCTAGTCTAGTGATATCGGCCATTTCAACGAGCCCGTGCAGCCATGCACCACTGCACCACTGCCCGCTGTGGCTGTGGCTTGTTTATCACGTGTTTCTCTTGCATCCGAGAACAGAAGATGAGGATGAGGGCGTTGCGAACACTGGGCACTGCCCTTCAGCGGGCGGTAACTTACTGACGCCTTTGTCTAACTTTGACAAAAGACAATATCAAAGCCAACACGCAATGAGTTCCTTGGGGAGGCGTGTTGGGATTCGCTAATACAGCGGGGATGTAGGATCCACGTCCCCACCCAGAGCATCTAATGGTGCGGTGGGACTTCATGCGGACAGATACTGCTGCCGTTAGGCCTTTGCTCCATCGGCCGTTATATTTGTATGACGGAGAATAAGCAGGTGAAATTACTTGAAATTAGTATGGAAACAAAGTTGGTGTATCTAAATCGAAAATAAAACGGCCGATGGAGCAAAGGCCTAGGCTGCCGTACTACTGCTGTACAGCAGTATTACAGGAGTACATATGGTCCGTTCGGGCAAATATTCACAATATTTTCCCCTGCACAAAGGTGCACTTTTCTCGGGGTGGGGGTACTTATTCCGAAATCTGAAAATACCACGTAAATCGACGTTTCAAGGCGCATCTTCGTACGGAGAGTCTTTTTTTTTTCGTCCTTCGCTCGATATGTTCAGATATTCCAGAAATCTTTCTTACTTTCTGGAGGGCGGTGTTTTTTGCAGACACAAAATCTGAGACCGGATTTGGACAGCTCTCGTGATTTGCCACCGATGATTTTTTTCCGATTTCCAATTTGACAAAAAATAACGGAGTTATGGGCAAAAAACCGGATATTGGAGGGTATTTTGCTTAGTTTCTTGGGGACAATCCAACCGTACGATTCAAAAATAAAGTGCTGCAATCGATTCCTCTCGTGATTTCCCACCGATGATTTTTTTCCGATTTCAAAAAAAAACTCGGGTTTCGGAGATATTTCGGGTGGTTTCACACGCCCTCGGGGAATTTTTTCCCGCCACACACACACCAGAGGACACACACACACACACACCTTACGCACGCAACGAAAGACGCACACGCGCTCCGGGCACATGGGTCGCCCAAAGGGTAAGCGCAAGCTGCCAAGGAACGCCGACGGCACGATTCGGAAGGCCCCTTCGCCCCCTGCGGACCCTGCTGTAGGCAACGACTCTCCTCCCTCTTCCGACTATGAAGGCGCCAATATTTCTCCCATGCACACCAACGACCACTCGTGGACGACGACTGGCCCCACCGCCGTTCTCATCGGCCTGCCGAAAGGAGGAAAGCAGCTGCTCATGGAGATGGGGCTGTGGGAAGGCGAGCCAACCCTACGCGTTCACGAGTGCAGCGCGTGCAGGGCGGAAAAGGCGGCAACAAGGCAAGCCATTACCGCCTTCAACCGCGGTGGAGAGGGGCGGCAGCAGGTGGTGGACAACACGGGGCAGGGAGAGGAGGACGGCGGAGAGGACGGGGGCTCGGGTGGGAGCGGGGCAGCTGGTGAAGCAGGCAAGAGGCGTCGCTGCTGCGTCGTGCGCGTTCTGTCTGAGCTCAAGGCGTTCAGGGAGGAGCTCAACATGGTTGAGAAGCTCTTCAAGGCACACGGGCACCTGTGCATCTTCTTGCCGAAGTACCACCCAGAGCTCAACGCAATCGAGCGATACTGGGGGTACATCAAGCACCTCCTCCGCCTCCACTGGGAGTATTCCCTTCGCCACATGCTCCAGGTCTTGCCCGGCGCGTTGAGCGGCGTACCCGCACGGTTTATCCGCGCATGGAGCAGGGTGACGTGGCTGTACATCGAAGCCTACGACGAGGGCCTGGAGGACTACCTCGAGTACCGCGATCTCAAGGAGTGGGGGAAGCACCGAGAAGCCACCGCCAGGGGAGATGCCGTGGTTCAGGCGAGGGGGGCGGGGAAGACGCCGGAGCAGAAGAAGCCAGCCGAGGCGAAGGCGCTTGCGGCTGCGCTGGAAGTGCGCAAGAAGTCGATGGCAGCGACCAGGGAAGCCTTCAACACGTGGACGAGCAAGAGAGCCTCCCGGAAGGAGCAGCTACGGCTGTGGATTTTGCGCAACACGATGAATTTTTTGAGGAAATGGTTGGGCGGGCACGCTCAGGCGTGAGTGGGGAGGGTACGTATCTATGTGTCGCGGTGTGTTGTAGTGTTGGTTTCTCGCGTTTCGGCGCGGTAGAGGCGTTCGTCATGGTCACCAACTCCACGCTATAGCTGTCTCTCTTGGTATCGGACTTGCTTAGAGAGAACGGATGTGATTGCTGCATGCTTTGTTTGCAGCACCTTCACCAGCCAGGGGTTGAGTAGAAAGTAAACGGCGGTATTGTATGTACGTATGTACATATATATGTGACGTGTAATGTAAATATGGATTGACAACGGTTTAACTGATGTTCTGAAGGCGTATACGTGTAGAAGGGANGTGGGGGCTCGGTTGGTCACTTTGGTCAAAAATGTCGCATTTCACCCAATCACCAAAAACTCATCGGATATCGACGAAGCTCGACGCCGCGGTCACGCCCAAAGTTGTTTCACTTTCCAAATCGTTTTTTTCGAAAGATATCGCGAAAACAAGATTGTGAATATTTGCCCGAACGGATCATAAATAGTCTATATATATTGTCTACTGCTGGTGGTGACCAGTGGCGGAGGAGCACGGCGTTGGTTCCAAGTAGGCCCTAACAGCACGCCAACGGCTGTTGTATGCTGTGGGTGGCGTATGTGACGGAGGCTTGGGTAGAGAAACACAGAGTGATATATTATCCGCACACAGAACAGCATATTGGTGAAGAAATTGACAGCGAAGCATCTGATTGAGAGCGAGATTGCGCGATGCGCTGCAGCTGGACCACTGCTGAGAGGTGGAGCTTGCTGTGTAGCTTGAATTGAAGGGCCAGCCCGTAGCTACAAGCAGATACCCTGGTCATCCTGTGGGAGTCTCTCGATGTGGAGTACAGCGGCGAGCAGAAGCTACAGCAGAGCCCACCGCCCGAGGCCAAACCGCCCTGCAACAGTTTGAGGCAGGACTAGCCAATCTGGGGAAATCTAACAACTTGTCTAGCTCCTAGCTGCAGCATCCGATGACGATGACACGCATATGCTCGTGACGCTGCTGATGAGACCTGTTAGACGTACTCACAGCATCGACAGATTATTGCAAGCAAGAAATTTCCGAGCAGATGGAGCGGGGAGTTTGGGGGTTCAGCAGTTGCTTTGGATTCGATTTGATGGTATCAACTTTGCCGTATATTACAGGATTGAGGGTGGGGGTATGTGTGTGTCTACAACGGATATGGTGATTGTGCGTTGTGGTTTCTCACTTGTTTTTTGTTTCCTCTTTTTTCTCCTTCCTGTGTGCAATCAAGTCCTTTTCCCCCGGCTATCACGCCACGGCTACCACGCCTTCTGTACTTCCACGTCCTTGCATACGCCTTCGCACCACGGCTATCACGCCAACAGGCTTTCATACCACATTCAGAGATACCGTACCCGAGCTATCACGCTCTATCCCAAAGCAGCAGGCTATCACGCCCATCGTAGTTCCTCCATTGTACCGTTGGCGGCGACCACACCGCTGGCTCATTTATTTCCCAACTACTGGAACCCGCGCGCCAAGGCACCGACGCACAAAGCTACTCAACACGCTAGCGTAACGATCAAGAGAGCGGCCGCCGTGTCTAAGCGCGCAACATGCCGGACGTAGACGGACGGCAGCCTCCGGGGGGATCAGGTCAGGCTGTCCCTCCCCCCGAGGAAGGCGTCGCGGATGGAGGAGGGAGCGATTCTTTCTTCGTCAACGATGCACGAGACCGAGGGGGTGCGCGAGCGGCAGGAGGGGAAGATCAGCGCGACACGATGCGTGAGCTGGTTGACCTCTTCAAGCAGGCACATAGTCCGGGGATTTCTCCCAAGGTTTGAGAAAACTCAAACCGTCTTCTGTTTGATTCGATGTTGTCGAGGGCTACAATGCAGGAGATGCTGAGGTTGGAAGAGCACGAGCTGAGGTATGAGCGGAGAGCTGGAGAGGGGAAGGAAGAGATGAGGCACGCCCTCGTCGCTGCCGGCGTGGGCCGGGGTGGCGAGGCGGGGAAACAAGCCGCTGCAGGATCGGAGCAAGGCGGACATCGACTCCAGCACCCTCAGAGGTCGGTGCAGCCACTTCAGCAGCAACCATCGCACTTCTGCCAGCTCCACGGCCCCAACAGTACCCACGAGACCTCCGAATGTCACAAGTTACGCAACGAATTTCTCGCCCACTACAACGAGTTCTGCGCGTACATGAGCGGGAGGCGGGAGGCCCAGGCATCGGTCTTCCCTCGAGGCGGAGCCCAAGACTCGGGGCGGATGGTTGGTGGCCCATATCGACAGCAGCCGTACCAAAACGAGCAAGGTGCGGGCTGGAGTCGCGGCCACTCTCCAGCGCTGCCGGGACCGCCGCGTGGGCAAGGATCCGGAACTGGAGGACAGCTGCAGGGGCGCAACTCTGGGGGGCGTGGGTATGGTGGATACGGTCCTTCCCCCCCGGAGAGCCGAGGTCGTCAGGTGGGCGGCCGTGGTGGTAATTATCCGCCACCCAACGTTCCTCCCGCGCAGATTGCTAACGTACCGCGGCCCTATTTTCCGGCTCATTTCGCCATGGGAGGTGGAGAACCATCAGGCGGCGACATCACTTCGGGATGGGAGGCCACGTCAGCGCCCGTATCTACACCCAGCTGGACCCCACCACCTCCTGAGGCAGGCTACGGGTACGGGCTCGCGGCTCACGGAGTGGACCATGGCGGAGGTCCCTACGGCAGCGCCGCCGGCGGGGGATACGGTTTCCACCAATTGCCCGACGGCGGAGGGCTCTACCAGCAGCAAGAAGTGAGCAACGTACCACACTATCCTTCTGCTGCCGGACCGGACGCCCAACAACCGCGAGCCTACGAGGCCTTCGACACCTCGCAGCAGCATTAGCAGCAGCAGCACTACGGTGCACCCCAGGCGACCTCTTCCTCCTCCTCTCTCTCTCCAGCTCCAGGCGGCGTTCTACCTCCAGCCGGCGATTCCCCCCTGCATCTCTTCGTGACACGTGGCGTGTGCCCTCGAGGCAAGTCTGAGGTTCGTTTTGAGAAGGATGTTGGTTTTGCGAAGCCTGACGTGTTCACGAGTGCGGAGTCTGATGTGCCAATGCCTGGTGTTCCCCGCGTGCCTGCTGTGCATGAGCGTTCTGATGATGAGTTCGGTGTCTCGAAGTTTGGTGTATCTACTCATCATGTACCCCGCGTGCCCGCTGTGCTTGAGAGTCCTAATGAAGAGTTCGGCGTTTCGGAGTGTGATGCATCTGTCCCTACAGTAGTACCAAGTGTGCCTGAAAGGGTAGTCGTAACCCGTCGCACCCGCCGTCCCACGGTTGAGAAAGCTTTCTTGTGCCAAGCCTCTATCCCGAATCCCATCGGTAGCGAACAATGGCAAGCCGATTCTGGAGCCAGTGCGATGATTACTAACAAAGTGGATGCAATGTACAATGTACGCCACTTGGGCCCGGACGAACGATTTATTCAGATTGGAGACTCGGCTCTCATCAAGGTTGCCGCAGTAGGGAGTTTGGACCTTAGGTTCCACCAAATCGGAGCCGACGGGAAACAGGAGGATTTGGACGTCACTGTGCCAGAAGTTTTGTTTGTACCCGGGTGTGGTGTCAACCTTTTCTCGGTATGGAAGGTGTCTCACAAGCATGAGGTCCGTATCAACCCCAACGGTACGCAAATGATGCACGGAAAACTGCGTTTTATTCGTGGCGTTTCGAGCGACTCCCTTTTTGCAACCCGCCTTCCCCACAAATCCCTGCCTTCTATGGACGTTGCGAATGAGAGTTCCCGTGAGAGTTCTTTTTCCTTTGTGGCATCGGCTCTTACAGCCGCGATGGGTTCCGATCTAGATCCCCCCCGTGTGACGGATGCTGTAGCAGAACACTCGGCGAAGATGATTGATGTGTGGGAGAGTGAAGAGTGTGAACGCGCCATGGCTGTGTTGGGTCCAGGGAAGACACCATTCAATGTCGGCAATGCACAAAAGGTCATGGATATTAACACGTTCCACTCCCGTGCCGGCCACTTGTCCGAACCCATTTTGAGGCTGTCCGCAAAGCAGCACGGGATTACCCTCACGAGCACGATGGACAGTTGCCGCTGGTGCTTGCCGGCGCGTGGGATGAGGGCACCGGTGCCGAAGCAGGGGGGCGGGTACCGCGGCAAGAGGGCGCCAAACGACGTGTTCCACATCGACCTCTGCGGCGCGTACACGGCGACGATCGGCGGCAACCACTACATGCTCTTCGGTGTGGACGCCGCAACGGGATGGATGGCCTGCTACGCCATGCGGCGTAAGTCGGAGGCGCTGGCGGTCGTCAAGCGCATGGTCGTGGATGCCGCCCACAAGGCTGGTACCGCGATCAAGTGCATCCGCTGCGACTGCGATGCTCTCTGGACCAGCAGCGACTTCAAAGAGTTCTGTGCCAGCATGGGGATCGCGCTCGAGTACTCCCCTCCCGGCGTGCAGCAGTACAACGGCGTCGTCAAGAGCGCCATCCAGAGGTGCCTCAAGGTGGCCAAGGCATCCCGCCGGGCCGCCCGGGAGCTGCTTGGCCCCGCAGGATTTTCTCGTGTCAGCGGGCTGAGCGTTCGTGGCGATGAGCTCTGGGGGGAGTCCGCAAAAGACGCCGCGCAGAGACTGAACCACTCAGCATCTCCTTTCAACCCCGGGGGTGCGTCGCCGCAGGAACTTTACACCGGCAAGGGAGGCCCTTTTCGCTTGATCCCGTTCTTCCAGTACGGTTTCATGTGGGAGCGGCCGGCAACGAAAATGGACGACAGGGCCGTGCCGTGTTTTTTCCTCAACGCCGGGGACAACCACGCCGACGTCAC